GTAAATGCATAGTACATTAACATAGCTTAAGACAAACATTTCCATAAGAAAAATGCATTGGTTAACTCAAGGTTTTGTTATGCCCGATGTCCGATGTCCGAATCCCCGAGCGGGAAGAGAGAAGGCTTCCAAGACAATGCAACTCGCAAAAAAAGGTAAGTTTATTACTGACTGGAGCCAGGGCTCCTGCTGCAACCAACGCAGTGGTGCAGGGTCAGAAAAGCCCGGAGCCCGAGCTGTTACCCAAATTTATAGGGTATGCATAAGCGGTTGGTAGCTGGCTTAAGCAGATTGGTTACATGTTTGCAAAGCAATTCTATTGGTACAAACTTTCCGGGGCTTTTGTTCAAACTTAAGCGTTCGCGGGCTTTTCCGTTTTCCCTCATGTTCCCTTTGTTCCCTTTAGGGCGCCTGTTGATTGGCTGGCTCCAGGCGGCCCGATGGGGGCGGGGAATCCCACCATTTCAGGGGAAACCGAAACCCAGGTCCGGGCCGCCTGCCAGTCCCGGCAGCCCCACAGGTTTGAGAATAGCTAACTTCAGGTGGAACGAGGTGTCATTATGGCAACACAGTATTTTATGAGAAACCTTTTAAATTTGTATAGAGAAGAAAAAAAAAAAAATATATATATATATGCATATATATCTCACTAGTTTTTTTCCTCCTGCCGCTTAAGAGAGAGATAAATGTCTGACACTTGCAGCCTCCATTTGGAGACCCCTGGCCTTCCTGCTTGTTACCCTCTCACCATCAGTGTTCAGTCCCTGGGTCGGGAGGAAGGCATGGCAACTCCAATATTCTTGCCTGGAGAATCATGGACAGAGTAGCCTGGTGGGCTACAATCCATGGGGTCGCAAAGAGTTGGACACGACTGAAGTGACTTAGCACACACTTGTGATCCTATGGACTGTAGCCTACCAGACTTCTCCGTCCATGGGATTTTCTAGGCAAGAGTACTGGAGTGGGTTGCCATTTCCTTCTCCAGGGGATCTTCCTGACCCAGGGATCAAACCCAGGTCTCCTGAATTGTAGGCAGACACTTTACCCTCTGAGCCACCAGGGAAGATCCCAATATAGAAGTTACACTTTATTATCATGCATGTGAACATCCTTTGTTCACATGTTTTATTTTATTGGTTTTGTTAGGTAGTTATAATAGGGAAAAGGAGTCCAGAATGGCAGTGGCTAAAGACCTGGAAGGGAAAAGCCCAAGAAAATAGAACAAAGGGAAGTCCGAGGACCGGAGTGAGAACCTCCGGTAAAAGAAATAGCACTCCTGTCTGGCCCAATTTACATAGGACAGGCCCAGGGAGAGAAAAACATCAAAAGAGGAGCCAAAGCTAGCTCTCTCTCTCTCTCTCCCGCGTGCTGGGGAGCTCTTCTCTTTGCATCTTTGGATCGACATGCCCTCATGCCTCAAAGATGGATTTTCCTGCCATCTTCTAAATAAAACAGAGCTGTAACACTGAGCTGTAACACTGATTTATCTGAGAGCTATAACACGGTCCGTTTGAGACCTGAGAGCTATAACATGGTCTGTCCAAGACCCGAGAGCTGTGACACGCCGAGGGGGGCTTTAACGTCCATCACTCCAAATCTTTGTTGTGACAAGACAAAAACCAAGGAGCATACACTCACCTGACAGTTTGATGCGAGTCACAGTTCCCAGTCACATTCAAGGGGAGGAAATTACATAAGGGGAATTCCTCCTTCCAGATTTTTCAGGAGGTAGTGGTCACTGCAAGCAGCTTAGAACCTACCCACCTCACCAGGGAAATAAGTTTGAAAGTAGGTAAGAGTCAGGAAGGTGACTGTGCTGGAACAGAGCTGAGTGAGCCATGTATTCTGGATGTGATTGCTGGGATTTAAAAAATATGTATTTTTGTTTGTTTTTGGCTGCACCACAGGGCATGTGAAATCTTAATTCCCCAACCAAGAATCAAACTCAGGCCCCCACAGTAGAAGCTCAAAGTCTTAATCACTGGACTGCCAGGGAAATCCCTTCCTCAGAGTTCTTGAACTCTAAATAGAAGTAATATAACCATTTATCACAAGTGCATACAGAGTGCTTACCACGAACCAGGCACTGTTCTTGGTATTGGAGATAGCAAACAATGCCAAAGCAAGAGAGTTCCAGAAAAACATCTACTTCTGCTTTATTGACTACGCCAAAGCCTTTGACTGTGTGGATCACAACAAACTGTGGAAGCTTCTTAAAGAGATGGGAATGCCAGACCACCTTACCTGTCTCTTGAGAAATCTATATGCAGCTCAGGAAGCAACAGTGAGAACTGGACATGGAACAACAGACTGGTTCCAAATAGGGAAAGGAGTACGTCAAGCAGTATTGTCACCCTGCTTATTTAACTTGAAGCACAAGCTGAAATCAAGAGTGCTGGGAGAAATATCAATAACCTCAGATGCGCAGATGATACCACCCTTATGGCAGAAAGTGAAGAAGAACTAAAAAGCCTCTTGATGAAAGTGGAGTGTGAAAAAGTTGACTTAAAACTCAACATTCAGAAAACTAAGATCATGGCACCTGGTCCCATCACTTCATGGCAAATAGATGGGGAAATAGTGGAAACAGTGTCAGNTGTCGGGGTTACTCTCTAGTTTTGTTGCTTGGGCCTCTCATCGCAGTGACTTCTCTTGTTGCAGAGCATAGGCTGTAAGGAGCAGGCCTCGGTAGTTGTGGCTCCCGTGATCTAGAGCACAGGCTCAATAGCTGTGGTACACAGGCTTAGCTGCTTCAAAGCATGTGGGATTCTCCTGGATTAGGGATCTAACCTGTATCTCCTGCATTGGCAGTCTGATTCTTTACCGCTGAACCACCAGGGAAGCCCGTTTTTTTCATATTGCTTTTGGAGTTCTTTATATACTCTAGATATTAATCTCTTATCAGATATATGATTTGTAGACATTTTATACCATCCTATTTATTGTCTTCTCATTCTCTTGACAACCTCTTATTTTTTCCTCACAAAGAGGTATGTAGGATCTTAGTTCCCCAACCAAGGAACAAACATTCATCCCTTGTATTGGAAGGTTGGCATGGCAACCACTGGACCACCAGGGAAGTCTTTTCTTCTACGTTTGAATTTAGTTTGCTTTCATTATTCCGACATTTTGTCTTATATATTTAGTTAATTTATTAGGGATTTCCTGATACTATCAGCAAGCCGATACATTTAAATTTTGTTTAAATTTATGTATGGCTGCGCTGGGCTTCCCTCGTGGCTCAGACAGTAAAGAATCCGCCTGCAATGCAGGAGACCTGGGTTCGATCCCTGGGTTGGGAAGATCCCCTGGAGGAGGGCATGGAAACCCACTCCAGTATTCTTGCCTGGAGAATCCCCATGGACAGAGGAGCCTGGTGGGCTACAGTCCACAGGGTCGCAAGTATCAGACACGACCGAGTGACTAAGCACACAAGCACGGCACATGGCCATGCTCGGTCTTCGTTGGTGCAGGGGCCTTTCTCTAATTACAGGGAGCAGGGGCTACTCTCCAGTCACCATGGTTAGGCTTCTCATTCCAGCAGCTTCTCTTGTTGCAGAGCACAGGCTCTAGGGTGCACAGGCTTCACTAGTTATGGCGCATGTTGCTTAATTGCCCTGCAGCATGTGAAATCTTCCTGCTGCTGCTGCTGCATCGCTTCAGTCGTGTCCGACTCTGGGCCAAGGATAAAACCCTTTTCCCCTGCACTGGCAAGAAAACTCTCAACCACTGGACCACCAGGGAAGTCCCAGTCTCTATATTCTAATCTAAATATAGATCTAGTTGCCTGCCAATCCCCGAAAGTTTTCCTACATAATGTGCTTGTATGCTTGTGTGTGCGTGCTTAGTTGCTCAGTTGTGTCTGACCTTTGCTCCCTCACAGACTGTAGCCAGCCAGGCTCTTGTGTCCATGGGATTTCCCAGGCAAGAATACTGGAGTGAGTTGCCATTCCCTTCTCCAGGGAATCTTCCTGACCCAGGGATTAAATCCACATCTCCTGCTTGGCAGGTGGGTTCTTTACCACTGAGCCAACATTTGGAAGCCCCAACATTTGGAGGAGCATTGTCAATATTTAGATATTGTTGTTACCATATTTTAATTTTTTCCCATTCTGGAAAATATGATCTACAGGTTTTCTGAGAAGGAAGTGTTTATTAACTTAATATTTCATGTCTTTCTCTTTTTTGACAAATGGGTTTTCAACTATTCTTGATCAATAGGTTTTTTGCTGGGTATGAGATAATTGTGCAGCCTGAAGTACAAGGTGTTAATGTAGGCTTATTCACCCATTCTTTGTCTCCAGATTTTCTCAGTGTTTTATTTTTCTTTCTATACTTCATGTTGAATACGGAGTAAGTGTTGCTAAGATGCTTTTTTGCAAACATTACAGCCATAGGTCCTTTTTTCATTATAAACTGTTTGATATAAATTAAGGTGTTAATATGATGAAACATGGTAAAAGTCCTTTCCATAAACAATAATGTTGAAAATATTAATGTTAATATTGGATAACTACCAGCTACATTCTTACGATATGTTGGGTAAGACTCCCATTTTTCAATTAACTCAAATGAGTTAAATCGTTACAGCAATCCAACATAACCATCATTAGTAGGTAATTACACACAAAAACGAATAAAGCAACACTTTTTCTAAACTGTTTACATATTTGGTTGTGTGTGCACATGCACGTAAAAAACCTTTTTAAAAAGGTTTAAAAAAAAAAAAGGTTTCCAAGGATAAAAATAAATTCATAATAGTGATTATGAGGGAATTGGGGATTATTGGCAATCTTTTACAGGGAGAAAATATTCATTAGTTATTTCTACATTGAAATTAAATGTTTTGAAATTTCAAACAAAAAAAGTACTAAAGTTGCATTTAGAAGGCAACTTCTGTAAATGCAAAAGTTTAAACAGGCACCAAAATGTTTATCAGTAGTTATTTAGCAAAATGAGAATCAACCACAGAAAAGATTATGACACCATTAAAAATAATAATACATAAACACCTGTACTTAAACAGTAGCATAAAAGCAGGTTATAGTACAACATGTATGTCATGATTACATTAAATAAAGCCTGCAAGGATATATTATGATAATTTGAAAGAAGTCATTTCTGTTTCACAGGCTTATAAATCTTTTTTTCTTTGTGCCCTGTTTTTTTTTAACGACAAGAAAATATTAACCTAACAAAAGAAGAATAGAGCTGCCTTCAAATACAAATTTATAATTCCACCATGAATTCAAAGACAGCCTATGCAACACAATTTACAGTGTAGTATTATGTAGGCCACAGAAATAGAAAAGATGGTCCTAAAACATAGAATTTTGGGGATAGAATTTTTGAGGGAAAAGGGGGTTTAATTTAGACCTTGAATTCACATTATTTACATTAAAAAATACATTTGATTAATATTATGTATAAAATTACAAACACATTAGAAAAAATAGTGTTAATAGTGTAACGGGTGAAACTATGTTAGAAGTCCAAACCCCTGGTATGTTAATGTGATAGTACCTGGAAATAAGGTCTTTGCAGATAAAATCAAGTTAAGATGAGGTCCTTTAAGATTAGGTGAGCCCTAATCCAACATGACCTGTATCTGTATAACAGAACAGATGCAGAGATACACAGAGAACGCAGTGTGAAGATGGAGGCAGAGATAGCAGCAATGCTTCTATAAGCCTAGGCATGTCAAAACTTGCTGCTATAAGAAGCTAGGAGAAGGGTGTGAAACAGATTCTTCCTGAGTCCCTGGAAGGAACCAAATTTGCCAACAACTTTGATTTTGGGTTTCAAGTCTCAAAAACTATCAGAGAATAAGTTCTGTTGTTTTAATCCACCTTGTTTTGTGGTACTTGGTACTTCATTACAGCAGCCCTAGGAAACTATTACACAGAAGAACCTTCAGTTTTTTTCCTTGCTTTTTTTTTTTTGCATCACTGTTTTAAAAATATTACTATCAAGTTTATCAAAAGGAACTATCACTTATCCATTATGAGTTCCTTCATGGCGGATGAGGTCAGAGCGACTACCAAAGGACTTTCCACATACTTTACAGTCATAAGGTTTCTCACCAGTGTGAATTCTTTGATGACGAGTAAGGTTTGAGCCTTTATTAAAAGCCTTTCCACACTCATTACATTCATATGGTTTTTCATCTGTATGGATTCTCTGATGTTGAATAAGTTCAGAGCTCTGAATAAAGGCCTTTCCACATTGTTTACATTCATAGAGTTTCTTGCCAGTGTGAATTCTGTGATGGTTGGTAAGTGTTGAGGCACTACTAAAGGCCTTCCCGCATTCCTTACACTCATAAGGTTTCTCACCAGTGTGCATTCTGTGATGTTGAATAAGCCTTGACTGTTGAGTAAAGGTTTTCCCACATTCCTTACATTCATAAGGTTTCTCACCAATATGAATTCTCAGGTGTGGAAAAAGTTGTGAACTCTTAGTAAAGGCTTTTCCACATACTTTACATTCATAGGGTTTTTCACCAGTGTGAATTCTCTGATGATCATTAAGGTTTGAGCAATAATTAAAGGCCTTTCCACATTCCTTACATTCATAGGGTTTCTCACCAGTGTGAATCCTCTGATGTTGAGAAAAATACGAACTACAACTAAAAGCTTTGCCACATTCTTTACATTCATAGGGTTTTTCACCAGTGTGAATCCTCTGATGTCGAGTAACAAGTGAGCCACGACTAAAGGATTTCCCACACTCCTTACATTCATAATTTTTTTCAGCAGAATGAATTCTTTGATGTTGAATAAACTGTGAGTTTTGATTAAAGGCCTTTCCACATATTTTACATTCACAGGATTTCTCTTCATTAATAGTTTTTTGATGTGAAATGAGAAATGTGGGCTGAAAAAAAGTGGGTAGGTCTTCATGGGTAAATATTACTTGACTAAAATGTCTCTTCTTTAGAGACAATAACTTAGTCTCACACATGGATTCCAGGTCTGAAAGAAAACAGAAAGGCATATGCTTATTTTTCTTATTCTGGGAAAGGTTAAACGTCTGAGAAATACAAAGATTAAACTGAAAATAATATATGGGAAAGTAAACAGATAGTTCTCAAACATGGCTAAGCAATTTGTAAAATTGATAAGAAAAGCACAGACATTAAGGAGAGGCAACAGAGGAAGCTGAAGAGAACCTGGTGGGGATCAGAATCACCTGCAACTTCAGTGAGTCCACACTATTCAGGGATCTCCTCCACATTACACAGTGATTCTAAGCATACATACATTTATATAAGCACATACTCACAGAGCACCATACTATGTCTTGTAATTTGTGGATAACTGCCATGCTTTCAGGACTACTGAGGAATAAATGTGTTTAAATGTATAAATGGGGATAGTGGAGGGTTAATGACTTTAAGCAAAGGGTATATTGTCGGCAAATTCACACTGTGGGATAGCCCACAGCAAGTCTAGGGAGCTGAATGAAACTGGTGAGAATGGTAGACAGGTAAATCACTTTTGTGAATAGAGCCTGGTACATGTTGGGGATGCAGTGAAAACAGTTTGCCTTCGAATTCTGTGATGCTGATGCTGGGAGAGAGAAATGGAATCTTCAAGTCATGGCAGTCACTAAGAAGGGAGGCAGCTTTAGTGTGAGAAAGTACAAAATAAGAATGAAACAGTCCCTGTGAGAAAAGAGGATTTTCCCCACTCTACATTATATCTGCTAATAACCATGGAAACACTGTTAAGTACTGATTTGGGATTTACAAATAAATTTCAGCAAGTAAGTAAATTCATAAATATAGAATTTGTGACTTAATGAGGGACAACTGTATTTTTTTAAAAGGGGGGCATAATTTCTGTTAAAAATGGCAGACTGTAGGTATAAGTTTACCAAAGCTTTTCATGAATCCATAAGAAAATTACACTAAAAGCTTAACAAGGGGAAAGGAAAACCCCATGAGGATAAAAGATACTGGAGAAGAAACAGAACTTGGAAACTGGAAAGTCAATGGATGAGTGATAAGTGACTGCAGACCAGAGAATACCAAACAAGCTCCAGTGGGTGAATTCCACAGTATTGATTCATGGTGCAAATCCCTTTAAATACATAAGAACTGGAGGCATCAGTCACTTCTAATAGCAGAGTGCAGAGCAGAGTAAAAGCTGAAGGATGAATTCAAAGAGTGTATCTCCTCCCCATCCCACAGAAAAGGATGATTATAGTTTTCCATTCTCAAAGAAAACTACAAATCTAGAAAAATGGAACCAGAGAAAAATCTGGACTCAGGAACATCTAGCATAGGCAAGTACATTGGTACTGAACTGAGAAGAAAGAATTAACAGAAAATACACATACTTGTGATATAAAAAAATGTATCTGGTCTTTGTTCCCAGTTCCTCAAAGAGCTTCAAAAACCACTGGATTATCTTTCATTATTCACTACAAGGGTCGTCTGATCATATCTGACTTTATGATAAGGAGGTGATTCACAGTGGATCCTTTGTTTCAAGGGATGGGGCTGGTCACACTTGCTTAAATAATGACACTCCAGTAAAATACTTGGCAAGGATTGAAGGAAGGTTCCTGGTTGGTGAACTAATCTATGTACCAGATGGGTACAAGGTCAATAGCACAAAGTGTGGATAATGAGAAGTAAAATTATTTTTGTATGTGACTGTTATCAGCATAAAACATACTGTTATATTTTTGAAAGCCCCATGATAATTACAAAGAAAACACCTTATAGAAGATAAGCAAAAGAAAAATAAAGGATTCAAAGCATATGGATACAAATAAAGAAAGAAAATGAAAAAAAAAGAAAGAAAATGAAGGCAGCAAGGGAGGAGAGAGGGACAAAAGAACTACAAGGACAGAAAATAATAACATAGCAATAGTAAGTTGTTACTTATTAACAATAACTTTAAATGTAAATGGATTAAACTCTCAAATAAAAAGAGAATGGCTGAATGGAGAAAACAATAGAGTAAGCCCTTACAGACGAACCTTCAAGTTGCCAACTTTCAAAAATGCAAAAGTACATCTTTCACATGTCCAATCACATTAGTTAGCTCACGTGTCTGGTGTACACTGTCACGTGTGTGCATCTGCTACAAGTGGTTGTGCTATTGAAGGAAATGGCAACCTACTCCAGTACTCTTGCCTGGAAATTTCCATTGATGGAGGAGCCTGGTAGGCTACAGTCCATGGGGTTGCAGAGAGTCAGACATGACTGAGCAACTTCACTGGTGACTATAGAGTGCAGTAGTACAATATCTTTATTTCAAGCCCAGGATGTCCAGAAGCAAGCATAAAAGCAGATGGTGATATCAGCCACATTAACAGAAAAAAAGATAAAAATCTTTAAGATAATGGGATAATCCTTTTACATAAGAATAAGATAATAAGATACTATCCTATTCCTACCAAGCTACCTTTTCCACTAGACAAATCATTTGCAACTTACCAATCTTTTTAAATTTAACATCTAATTTTAAGAGAACTCGGTCCCTAATGAGTAGCAAATAATAAGTGAAACGAAGGTACATTTCCCCAGATAATTAAATAATCCTCAAATGGACCTGAAAAATACACTGGTATGGCACTGGAAAGACATGAAGTATTTATCCTTTTGTATGATTTTCAATTGTAGATATATACTCAAAAGTGGGGCATATGTATACCAGTTTAAGTAGTAACAGATGACTATAGAGAAAGGCAAAACCATTTTATACTTTCACAAGAATGCATAAGAATTTCTACGTCCCCATTCACAGCTGTCATTATCCAGCTTTCTACTTTTCCATGTATAGTAAGTAAAAAGTGATATTTCATTATTGTCATCATTTGCACTTGTAATTATTGTCAACATCTGAAAGGCTTATTAATTAGCATTTTAACCTCATTAGCCTTTATCAGTATTTTTATTGGGTCACTAACTTCTTCCTATTAATTAGCAACTATCTTCCAATCTACTCTGCATTAAACTTATCTTTTGTGTCCTTCATTTAACAGAAATTCTTAATTTTGATGTATTTTCAGTTTATGACTTTGCTTTATTAAAGGTTTGTACTTTTGGAGTTTTATTTATTTACTAACTTAAATAGCATTTAAAGGAAAAAGGGAAAAACAAAAGCCTCAAAACTAGAGTGTAATGCCCTGTTAAGTATGTCTAATAAACATTTTTTTTTTCTAATATACATTAAAAGTACTGGAAAGCAGGCAATTTTACCGAAGGGCAAGGTCACTAGGACATGTGGACTACAGTTATAAAAGAAATTTTGAAAAATAAAGGTGCTCATGGAAAAGAATAGAGGAAACAATGTCAATAACACAGAACAGTGAGCAGGTTTTTGAAAATGCTATAGTACTATTCTAGTGTGGTATTCAGACAAAGGTAGACAAGAAAACAGAACATAACAAAGTCCGGAGACAGACTTATAGATATGGCAACACTTGATTTATGGCCAAGTAGCCTTTTATATAGAGAAAGGCCTTCCAGTAGACCTTGTTGGGTCAACTGCATATTCACCTCGGGGGGGGGAAAAATGAAATTTGACTCCTACCTCATACTACATCAAACATCAGCTCCAAGGAACTGGAGATCTAAATGTAAAAGGTAAAGCAACAAAGCTACTAGAATATAACATAGGGAGTATCTTCATGATTTTGGAGTAGGCAGTGAATCCTACACAAAACACAAAAAGCAACAACTATAAAGGAAAAGATAGGTAAGCTTGTCTTCTTAAAATTAATAACATCAAAAGATAACACTAAGAGAATAAAAAAGTAAGCAATACAGGTAGATATTTACAAGGGCTCATATTCAGAATATACAAAGAGCTTCTTCAAATCACTAAGAGAAAGAAAGAACCCAATGAACAGAATCAAGGAACTTAAACGGGCAAGTCACAGAATACACACACATGCATACACACACACATGCACACAAACATACCACAGGATGGCTAACATTAAAAGGTCTAGCAATATCAAGAACTGGCAAGAATGCAGAGCAATAGCAACATTCATACCACTATTGGAAATATAAATTGGCATAACCACTTTGGAAAACTGGCATTATTAAAACAGAACCAACACATATCCTATTACCCAGTAACTCCATTCCTGTGTACACACCCAAAAGAAATGTGTATATATATGCACCAAAATATATGTACATAGATGTTCACAGCAGCATTATGTAAAATAGCTAAAAACTGGAAAACCACCAAACAGTCAATAGTAGAAAGGATACTTAATTTATAATAATTAGCAATACAGAATAAATAATATAAAATATATCCATAGAATGGAATACCACATAGCACTGAGAATGAACCAACATTAGCTATATGCAATAAATGCGTGTATATTATCATCCTGCTTATTTACCTTACATGCAGAGTACATCATGTGAAGTTCCAGGCTGGATGAAGCACAAGCTGGAATCAAGATTGCTGGGAGAAGTATCAATATCCTCAGATGCACAGATGATACCACCCTTATGGCAGAAAGCAAAGAACTAAAGAACCTCTTGATGAAAGTGAAAGAGGAGAGTGAAAAAGTTGACTTAAAACTCAACATTCAGAAAACTAAGATCATGGCATCCAGTCCCATCACTTTATGGGAAATAGATGGGGAAACAATGGAAACAGTGACAGACTTTATTTTTGGGGGGCTGCAAAATCACTGCAGATGGTGACTATAGCCATGAAATTAAAAGACACTTGCTCCTTGGAAGAAAAGTTATGACCAACCTAGACAGCATATTAAAAAGCAGAGACATTACTTTGCCAACAAAGGTCTGTCTAGTCAAAGTTATGGTTTTTCCAGTGGTCATGTATGGATGTGAGAGTTGGACTATAAAGAAAGCTGAACACCAAAGAATTGATGCTTTTGAACTGTGGTGTTGGACAAGACTCTTGAGAGTCCCTTGGACTGCAAGGAGATCCAACCAGTCCATCCGAAAGGAAATCAGTCCTGACTATTCATTGGAAGGACTGATGCTGAAGCTGAAACTCCAATACTTTGGCCACCTGATGCAAAGAACTGGCTCATCTGAAAACATCCTGATGAAAGATTGAAGGCAGGAAGAAAAGGGGACGACAGAGGATGAGGTGGTTGGATGGCATCACCGACTTGATGGACAGGCGTGAGCAAGCTCCGGGAGTTGGTGATGGACAGAGAAGACTGGTGTGCTGCAGTCCATGGGATTGCAAAGAGTCGGACACAACTGAGCAACTGAACTGAACTGATATGCAATAACATGGATGATGTATCCCATAAATATAAAGTTGGGAGAAAAAGAACAAAGCATAAGTACTGTATGATTCCACTTACATGCGGCTCAGAAACAGGCAAAAATTACTTCATAGAGTTAGAAGTCAAGATAGTATGTATTTTTGGGGAGGATAAAGAGGGGAGTGATTGGGAAAGGGTTCTGAAAATTACAGCTAGTAATTTTCTGGAAAGTAGATAAAATGAAAACCAGTATTGGAAGAGAAAACACAAATACACACACACACACTTCTTAGAGTGGGAATATCTACTGTCACATAAGTCTAAATGTCACATAAGTCTAAATGCAGCATATCCTATGAAGGAATGAAATCTAAAAAGTGGGTAGAATAACTGCCTTGGAAATGAAGAAGGAAGGCATTAATACTTCCTACATTGGACAGAGAAAAAAGTATAAGAGAAAAAAACAAGATATATCTTTTATGGACGAGGCTTTGGGTTTTTGAAGGGAGTTTCCTGATAACATCTTATAGGTAATATCTCCTCAGGCTCTATTCCTGCACCGTCATCTCTCACTTACCTGAACAAAGGCCTCTGGTCAGTTCTCTGTCAATCATCCAGGGCTCTTTTCCTTGTTCCAATAAGGAGATCACAGCCGGTTTAGAACTGGAAAGTCCTGATCGCAAGAAAAGACATGGGACATGGTTATGCTGTTGGTGTCCCAGAAATCAGATCCAGTCCTTTGGTGATCAAGAGAGATGCCTCTACAGGACAGACCAGAGAAAAGATAAAGATGAAGCTTAAGCCATATCCCAACAGAGCTGTCCATTTCCAGCTCTTCCATTCCATTCCAACTCAACCATTCCTTGGGGGACGGAGAGCAGGAATTTAGCTAGTTACCTGGAATGAGTAATTCACAGTGGAGAAAGGAGACATTCCCAAGAGCAGACTCTGAACTGGGGAGACAGTCATCCTTACCCACTGAAACCAGGTTGCTGAAATTCTCCAACATTACTTCTTTGTATAAATTCATCTGACCAGAGTCCAGGCATTCCCATTCCTCCTGAGAGAAGTTTACAGACACGTCCCTGAACATCATTGAGCCCTGAAAATAACACACATGCTTTCACAATGGAAGGAGAGAAGAAAATGATGGTAGTAGATGAGATGGTAGAGAGCTCTACAGAAAAGGACAGATTATTAAGCAAACTGAAGGAGCTGGACCCTATTACATCAGCCAAGAAATATCTGCTATGAACAGAGGGATCTGTCTAGGAGTGTGCAAATAGAGTGGACTTTTCCAATGAGATGAAATAGCAAGCCTGCAGCTCAGTGCCTGGCCACAGTAAAGTCTGCATAAATGAGAGTCCCTTCCCATGTTCCCTTTAAGCCCTAAAAGAGGGGGAAATGTGATAAACTTTAAAAAATAAACTTTATGTTATATTTTGGAGTAAAATTTCAGAATATCAGGGAAAAACAGAACTTTTTAAAAGCTTCTGTGGATCATATTAAAAATTTTCAGAAATTGGAACAGCAATGGATGTCTCAACAGCACTATTTTAAATAAGAAAATGAAATGATCCCTTTATCTTTTAATTAATTAATTGCCTGCATGTGGGATCTAATTCCCTGACCAGGGATTGAAACTGGGCCCCCTGTTTTGGGAGTGCAGAGTCTTAGCCACTAGAACAATAGGGAAGTCTCTAATTCCTTTAATATTACAAAGGACAATGAATTTTGACAGAGAATTCAATACTCAGTCAAAGTTAATATGAAGATTATATACCAAGCAAGATTAAATACCAAGCTAGTATGAAGATTAGCTCAAGACAATTCTAGATTCATAGAGAATGAATGTTAAATTTTCTCCTGTCCAGCTTTTCTTGGGAAGGTACTGGCTTATGTATTCCATCAAAACTAGGGAATAAGCAAATGAAAGGTATTATATTCACAAGCTAGGACACTAACATGAGAATGGTGAACGAAGTCCAGTATAATTGTAAAAGGCAAGGCCCAGAATAGTATCTGGGAGCAGATCCAGAGAGTAATATCTAGGAATAGGAGGATAAAGGACTATGTGAAAGAAATTGACTGTGCAGCAAAGAAAGGAGTTCAGGTTAAGGAAACAAAGCAGCTTAAGACCATATGTCCTCCTCTTCACAATCCAAGCTTGCATTGTGCAGGCCTGAAGTAAGCCTGAGATAGAGAACAGGCTTTAAATAAAATTTGCACATTATTACACTCAACCAGAGAGTGTAATTACTAAAATAAAACTGATCTTGTGACTGAAAATAACCAAAAACTACCCAACAGTGATCAAAGCAATTTTAGGGACTGCACAAGCTTTTATCCAGGGCAACAAAAAAAAATTAGCCATAGAGTTGAGAGTGAAAATTTAGGGAAAAAAAATATTCTTTTCCTTGCTTCCTATGAAGTCCTGCTTATTTCAGAGTGTTGGTTATAAGCTGATTTGGTTTCCCAGGTACACAGTCACATCATCTGCAAAAAGTAATAATCTTACACCCTCTTTTCTAATTTATAACCTAATTTTTCCTTTTGTTTAAGTGCTTTGGTTAATGCCTACAGAACAATGTTAAATAACATTGGTAATGATGTGTACCCTTGTCTTTCTCTGATTTTACTGGGAATGTTTCAGATATTTCCAGATCAAACATTAGGTTAGCTTCTGAAAACAAATTTAATTTTATTCCCTTTAAAATTTATTTTCCATCGCTTCTCGGCCTTTTGGCTAAGATCAAGTGTAAAATTTATTTTCCACTGCAGTATACTACCTCCCTAGAGTATTAATATTGGGCAGTATCTTCAATATAGAGCTGGTGAGTATAATTAGAGGTTGATGGGAGAGGGGAACCAGATGCTCTGTTTGGGCTTTGAAACAGGAGAATGGATTGGAAGGACTCAACTGTTTCTGAAGAAATTCAGATAGAAAGGCCTTAAGCTTATTTGAGAAGACTAATTCTCATCCTGATTTTCTTTGCCTCTGTACCAAACACACATTCTTAAAATTGAGAGTTCCAAATTTAGTTCCATGAGAACTGAATTTCAGCTCCAAACTTATACCTTGAGAAAATAGTATCCCTATTCTGACTCTTCTACCTGGGTACACTCTAACACTCAAATAAAAAAATAATAACGTGATTGATAGCCTTGTGATTTGGTGAGTTCCCCAAGATGAGACATGTTGAAACATAAGTGAATCAAGATATTTTTGTTCTAGTTAGAAGGAGACTCCAAAATTCTAGCTCCCTGCCAGCCCTCCACACCCTTCCTGAGATAAAGCAAAGACTTCATGTCTCATACAACTGATTCGAAGAATAAACTATAACTCATTCATGAAAAAAATAATATGTACCTTTGAAAAATTGTATTTACAAAGATCATTTGGTGACAGAATACTTTTTTGGCCTGGAGAATTCCACAGACAGAAGAGCCTGGCAGGCTACAGTCCTTGAAGTCGCAAAGAGTCACACATGACTGAGTGACTATCACTCAAAATGGTAAATGAAGTGTAATCTGATTTTGGAAAAACAATGAAAATACACAAAAATATTAACACCAGTTATTTGAGTGGTCCTATTTTATTTTTTTCTTGGTAATTCTGTTTTTAAACTCTCTAACATAGTCATGCTTTAAAGTCATAATAAATATTGCATTTAAAAAGAAAAAAATTTGACAAACAGAAGTGGAGCCATCTTCCAAATAAGTAAACATTAGGTATATGGGAGTTACTGTGCTTCAGTAGTAGGTTCAACTATTCTTTTTTCCATAGGAAAATCATAGGAACTTATCATCAAATGATATACCTTTATCAAGCATTAACTTTCAGAAGACAGAAAACAATGAGTAAATCCCAACATACCTTGGACACTGCTTGCAGAAGTTCATCATGCATTCTTTCCTTCTCTTTTGAGCCTCACCTGGAGAAGGGTATAACTGGGAGAGTAGAAAGTAATGGTAAGACACTGATCAGGTCACAGGTCAGCCGCAGCCCAGCCCCATCCTCATCCTCACCCCTCAGTACACACAGGTAAAGGAGATCAGAGGAAAATGGGGTGTCCCGTCCATTCCCAATGTCTCAGGAGAAAGCTGAGGAGACTGCTGTTGAGGACTCCAATCAAACCAAACTTCACAGAGGTTTCCTAAGAACTGAGCTCTGGAGTAACAACCGCACAGATGATCAGACTCGCACATTCCGCACGTGCGTGCATGCTAAGACGCTTCAACAGTGTCCAACTCTGTGCAAGCCTATAGCCTGTAACCTACCATTCTCCTCTGTCCATGGGATTCTCCAGGCAAGAATACTGGAGTGGGTTGCCATGCCCTCTAACGATCTTCTTGACCCAGGGATCGAACCCGCGTCTCTTAAAGTCTCCTGCATAGGCAGGCAGGTTCTTTACCACTAGTGCCACCTGGGAAGCCCATGCATTCTGCACAGTCATACTTAAGACACACTGCACATCCGCACATAGAGAGTCAAACGTTAACACAGACCCAATCGCTAACTCACCACAGGACGCATAATTACACTAGCACAGTTGCAGGCAGCCCACTGTCTTGGTGTTACGAGCACGTACCACCATAGGGATACACAGTCACAATGCCACAATGATAGGCATCCTATATCTGCACACGGGTCGCATAACCCCCCCTTCTCACTCCATTCCGCCAGCACAGAAGCTCCGTATCGGTCTCCTGTCTCTTCAGTTTAGACCTTTCGGGTCCCCCGGGGTCCGAACCTGCAGAGTTGAACCAGGTCCCCAGGGGCCCACGATCTCTGGCCTCACGGATCTAACGGTCCCGCCAGTCGTGATGAAAATTTCGAGCTCCCGCGAGAAGAGTGACAGGCCGCTAGGCCCTCTGGGAAATGTGGTCCAGAGTTGTCCCCAAGGCCGATTCCTCTCAGCGCCCTTCCTGGACCCACCCGAAACGACTGCTCCTTCAATTCAGAGGTTAGCCAGGTCTCGGAGTTGCAATTCGCGGTATCTCAGCACGCTGGGGCTCAGCCACCCGATAGGACCCGGTTCACCCCCTCCCTCACACAGGAAGCGCCTGCTCCTTTCTGGCCGGAAGTTGACTCCGGCCGCGGGACCTTCTGGGAGGTGTTGTGTTGTGGAACGTCCGTTGGGAGGCGGGCGCAGAGGGATGGTTCGGAGTTACCCGCACCTGGCTTCCCGAGTGTCGCCTTCACCCGGCCTCCCAGACACTGCGCGCTAGATGCGCTTTCGGGTGTTTCCGGCAGGTGACGCTACCGCGTCCTCTGAGCGGGACTTTAAGGAGGGCCTGAAACATTCTTGGCTGAAGCAACGCGCGAGGCTGGCGGGGCGGAGCCTTTAAGGAGGCCCAGAGTGGAATAGTGGCAGTGCGGACTGCTCCGGGTGGGAATATGCCCCTGGAGAGTGGTTGGAGTTCTAAGAACAAGAAACTGGTGGAGAGTTAGAGTGTGTGTGTGATTATGATGGTCTGTGGAGTTGCGATGCTGTGTGTGTGTCTGTGTCTGTGTGTGTGTGAGAGAGAGAGATTGTGATGGTATGAGAATGATGAGGGGTGTGGTTATGTGGGTGTGATGGAGTAATTGTGATGGGATGTTTGTGTCATGTGATGTTTGTGATTGTGATTTATGATAACGTGCGGTGTTGTCCACGTGATTATCAGATAGATCTACAGTGTGTGTGATTGGGATGAAGTGATTGTGATGTGTAGTGCTTCTTGTCTTACCTCAGTTGACTTCTGTGTCGCCTTTTGGCATAATTGGCAACCGCTTGAAAGAAATTTCTGTATCTGGTTTCACGTGGTCTTTCCTCCCCATTCGTCACTCTTTCTTAGTCTGCTTCCCAGCCCTCTTTGCACCCCGCCCCTAGCCATACTTAGACGTGTTCTGTTACTTTCCAGTTTCCCTTGGTGATCTTTTTCAGATTTATTATTTCATCTTCCTGTGGCTTCTTTTATTATTTGTATTAGTTATTGTGATCATAGTAATGCTGCCTAACAAACCACTTTTAAACTCAGTGGCATGCAACAGCAAGCATTTATTCTCTTATTCACAGGTTTGCAGAATCTCTGTTCAGGTTATGTAGGCTGGGCTTGCCTGGAGGGCTGGGCTGCAGAATCCATTCAGACCTGCTCCACAGGTGTCTTTATGCAACTCAGGAAAAAAGGACAATGGTTACCAGGACATATTCTTCTCTTGGTGGATCACCAGAGTACAAGAAATCATAAAAACCTCTGCTCCCAAGTATACTAATGTTACAGATGCCTAAGCTTAACATTAATTACACCCACAGTCAGAGGGCAAGGCAAAATTAAATGGCAAAAAGTGTGAATGTCTAATCCTGTTAGAGGGGAGTGAAGAATTGGGACTAAGATTTCAATCTGCATCATTAGGAAACATGTCTCTTTATCCTGGTGAATGTCTTAGTCCACGGTTCTCTTTTGTCTGTTAATATTGTTTTTCGGGTTTTGTTACTGTATTTTCCAGGAATTTCATTTTACAACCCCTTCCCTTTATGTCTTTATACTTCAGGTCTGTCTCTTATAAAGAGCATATTGCTGGGCTTTCCCCCCTTTTATCCTGTTTGACTTATTTTAATAGGTGAGTTTAATTCATTTACATTTATTGTGGTTGCTGATAAAAATTTGCTTTATTTTCTATTATGCCATCTTTTTTATTATGCAGGTTTACCTTATCCCCTTTTCTCTCTCCACTGCTTTGGTTTCCTATCCTTGAATTTTTAACATGCGTGTTTATCAAAACCCAAACTAAATAAGATTTTAGAACACTTGAACTCCAAACGATCCACCCATTTTATGTTTTTCTTATCTGATATATTGCTTTCCTCTAATTTTAATTACTTGAAATTAGTAGTAATTCATTTGCCATGATATACAGTTGACCTTTGAACAGTATGGGGATGTGAATCCCCTCCCCTTCTTTTGCAGTCAAAAATCCAAGTAGAACTTTACACTTGGCTCTGTGTATCTTAGATTCTGCAACTGCAGATTCAACGAACCTCAGATTGTGTTTGTATTGATTGAGAGCAAATCTGTGTATCAGTGGACTCATGCAGTTCAAACCCATGTTGTTCAAGGGTCCACTCTGTGTGTATGTGTGTGTATTTAAAATTATGGGAAAGTAGAGAGAACATAACAAATGACATAAATTTTGCTGTCATGATATCCTTACTCCCATGTTCATTGCAGCATTATTGAAATAGCCAAGATATGGAAACATCTTTCTATTAACAGATGAATGGATAAAGAAAACGTGGCATATACATGCATTGGAATGTTACTCAGCCTTAAGAAAGAAGTAAATCCTGCCATTTGTGACAACATGGATGAATCTTTAGGACATTGTGAAATAAGTAAAGAAGCCAGTTTCAGGACAAATACTACACAGTTCTTTTTTTTTTCTTTACACAGTTCTTTTATATGAGCTATCAAAAATAAAATTCTTTCATATGAGCTATCAAAAATAATCAGATTCAAAGAAACAGAGTAGAATAGTTGTTGCAAGGGGCTGGGAGAGAGGGAAATGGCGAATTGTTTTCCAGTGAGTGCAAAGCTTCTGTTATGTAAGATGAATAAATTTTGGAGACCTGTACAATATAGTACCTATATTTAAAAAATGGTATTATGCACTTTAAAATATGTTGAGAGTAGATCTCATGTTCAGTGTTCTTACTGAAAAAACTAAAACACAAGGAAATTTTTGGAGGTGATGGATATGTTTAGTACCTTGGTCATGGTATTGGTATCACAGATACATATGTCCAGACTCATCAGGATATATACGTTAAACTTGTGCAGTTTTTTGTGAATCAGTTATACCTCAGTAAAGGCAAAAACAACAACAACAAAAAAAAACCCTACAAAAATTTACTGTCTTAACCAGTTTCAAGTCTTTTTGAAACCACTTTCAAGTTCAGTGGCATTATATCCACTTTGCTATGCCACCATCACCACTGTCCATCCATAGAACTCTTTTTATCTTGTGAAACAGAAACTCTGTACCTATTAAATAATAAGTCCCTGTTCTTAACAATCCCCCAGTTCCAGGCAACCACGATTCTACTTTCTGTCTCTGTGAATTTGATGTTACCTCATTATGTACTCTGTATACAAGATCATACAGTATTTGTCCATTTGTGACTATTTTAACTTAGCATCTCCTTAAGGTTCATCCATGTTAAAGCATGTGTCAGAATTTCCATCCTTTTTAAGGCTGAACAATATTTCTTTTTTTTTTTCCATTTATTTTTATTAGTTGGAGGCTAATTACTTTACATCATTACAGTAGTTTTTGTTATACATTGAAATGAATTAGCCATGGATTTACATGTATTCCCCATCCCAGTCCCCCCTCCCACCTCCCTCTCCACCCGATCCCTCTGGGTCTTCCCAGTGTACCAGGCCCGAGCACTTGTCTCATGTACCCAACTTGGGCTGGTTATCTGTTTCACCCTAGATAATATACATGTTTCAATGCTGTTCTCTTGAAACATCCCACCCTCACCTTCTCCCAGAGTCCACAAGTCTGTTCTATACATCTGAGTCTCTTTTTCTGTTTTGCATATAGGGTTATCGTTACCATTTTTCTAAAGTCCATATATATGTGTTAGTATACTGTAATGGTCTTTATCTTTCTGGCTTACTTTGCTCTGTATAATGGGCTCCGTTTAAGGCTGAACAATATTTCATTGATTGTACATACCACATTTTGTTTATCCATTCATCTGTTAATGAACAGTTGGATTGTTTCTATCTTTTGACTTTTGCAAATAATGCTGCTACAAGCATGAGTGTACAAATACCTGTTCAAGTGCCTGCTTTCAGTTCTTTTAGATATATATCCACAAGTGGAATTTATGGATTGTATATTAATTCTATTCTTAATTTTGTGACTGCCATACTGTTTTCCCTAGTGGCTATACCAGTTTACCAACATATTTTCTGAGTACCTACTAACAGGAGCAAAACAGACAAAAATAAATCCCTGTTTTCATGTATTTTATATGAGGGGATGGACAACATGTATGATAAATTATATAATTTGTTAGTGATAATTGACTTTGGAAAAACATAGAAATGGTGTGAGGGATATTAGGAGTATATCCCAGGCATAATGCTTCTCAAAATTTATTATAATGGAATGTTTTCTGTTTTTCTTTTCTGTCATACATAACAAGGATTAGTTTCCTCTCTTGTGTATGATTTTTTTTTACCACAGATGATAAATTAATGTCATGTGACAGTGTCACTATGTCATGAATATAGTTCTCATTTCAAATGAGTATAGGAATTCTAAATTGCAACTCTTATTTACCCCAGTTGTCAAGATAGATAAGAAATGGAATAGCTGGACTTTTAATGCAGCTCTCTTTCACTCCAAGTTTGGGGTTGCTGAAAATCTGAATGTTTTTTGATTCAGCTTTCTATCTGTCACTGCATTAGGCCTATACCCTTATGCTCACAAAAGATATTTGAGAAGGAGATATTATGTGAACATGACTATTTTTATTCCCTTTGTTTCTAGACTTTTGGTGTTTCTATTGGTTCAACCTGAGTTGCTGAGTCTGAGTTGTCTTCCAAACTCCTGCTATCTCAGTATCTCTGGTCAGTGACTCCAGGGACTGTGAATTAGAAGCAAGGAAGTCAGTTGTTTGGGACTATATTAATTATCTATTACTGTGTAATAAGGTAACTCAAAATTTAGTGGCTTAAACAACAGTAAACACATTATCTCAGCTTTTGTGGGAAGTGGGGAGGGTATTCAGACTCAGATATTTCAAGAAGTTGCAGTCAGTTGTTGGCAGAGCTGCAGTCATCAGAAGGCTAATGGGGATTGGAGGATTTGCTTCCAAGATGGCTGGCAAATTGGTGTTGGTTGCTGGCACAAGCCTCTCCCTAGGGTTGGTTGAATATCTTCCTGTTATGGTAGATGGCTTCTTTCAAAGTACATGATCCGAAAATGTGCAAGACAGAAACAGCAGTGTCTTTTATGACCTCACCTTGGAAGCCACACATTGTCATTCTGCAATATCCTATTGGTTAGACAGGTCAACTCTATTCAGTATGGCAGGGTTGTATGAGAAACATGAATACCAGAAGATAGTGATCCCTGGAGGCACCTTGAAGGCTGGTTCCCATAGGGATGCAGTGAGAAGACATCAGGTAAATTGGATTTATATCATAAACCCACAGGTCCTGGCTCCACAAAGATAAGACAGATCTGTGATGTAAGGAGAAAGAAGCATGAAGAGCAGGTATCTGTTATGGAAGGAGACCTCCTGATCTGGGACCTTCCCCACCAGCTGGGGAGTCCAGAGATAGAGTGGACCCTGGAATTGCTAGACCTACACCCTATCTTAACCCCTCTGTATGGATTGTGGAAGGACTGAAGGACATCTTAACCTTCAGAGATCAACAGTAGCAGTGTGACAATGAAGCGTTTGACTCGGATGATGGAAAGGACAGGTGAGGTGGCTCAGAGATGGGCAGAGTTTAGGAGAGAGGATGTAAAAAGAGAAGTTCAGTACTCCTACCAAGAAATTACACAAGTTATTGACTGTTGTTGTGTTTTGTTTGTTTTGTTTTATAATTTTGCTGTACCAGGTCTTAGTTGAGGCATTTGGGATCTAGTTCTGTGACCAGGGATCAATCCTGGGCCCCCTGCTTTGGGACCATGGAGTCTTAGCCACTTGACCACCAGGGAAGTCCCTTTATCAATGTTTTTTATTCACTTGACAAGTGCTTTTTAAATAAAATTTTCATGTAATTTCTATTTTTCTTAAATACATTTAGATTTTTTTTTAAGTGCTGTTAAATATATAACTTTATATAAACAAAAGTGTCCTGTTCCATTCCTTCCCATACCCTCTTCCCACTAGCCATCAGCAACTACTTGGAACATTTTTTTTCTGGATATTCTGGTATTCAGCTCTGCTTTCCTGAATAACATCCTCATACTGCTAATGTTTGATTTCTGTTTTAGATATTTCCTATTGACTTTTGACAGTGGAGGTGAGGATTTATCTCTGTTTTCTGCCTAACCCCTTCCTCATCACCCTCTCCCCATCCTGACTCCCACCCACTCTTCTTTCCCTTCTTTCTAATATGGTGTTTTGTTGGAGGTTGAAGGTTGATCAGTGTCAGGATCTATATGCATTTTCTTTTGAGGTGGTCAATTTTCCCAGCAAGAAGTCCTAGACAGATTGAGAAGTATAAGCTGGAATGCTGGGAGGCAAACAAAGGAAAAAAGTTGAGGGGAGTACCTCATCTTTCAATCTGACAACTTTCATGTAATTCCCTTATTTTCTCTACATTGCTTCAAGCCCACCTTATATTTAGTTCCTTGTTTTTCAGCCCCACCCCAGTCTCCTGCTTGCAGAAGTAACTAGTGCCTCTATTCCTGAGCCTTTGAAGTGTTCTGCCATGGTTTCCCCAACCTGAAGCTCAATTAAGCTTCACCCTTCTCTAAGTTAGAAACCAGTCATTTGTCTGCTCTCTAGCTTTCAAAATTTTGTTGACATCTCTCTCTCTCTTTTTTTTTACTTTTATTTGCATTTATTTTTTGAGGCATTTATTCCCGGGCCATACGTTTGTGTTTCTTCAGTTTCTTCTGGGATATCTTTTTCTTCTGTGCAACGTTGTCTTCTGGTTTAGGAACAATCCATTCTTTTTCAGTAAGGCTCATCTCAATGTGGCAGGGAGAGCTCATGTATGGGTTGATCCAACCATGAGCTCTGTAAGTCCTACGCTGCATCTTGGGGGCTTTGTTCACCTGGATGTGCTCAATGACCAGAGAATCTACATCTAACCCCTTAAGTTCAGCATTATTCTCTGCATTTTTGAGCATGTGCAGTAAAAATTCACTCTTTTTGGGCCACCTACCCTGCGTCCAGCCCCACTGTTTGGCACGTGCACACCTACCAACTCCACCTTTGTAACGACGGAATGGCACACATTTGCTTCTTTAAAGTGACACCCTTCAGATACTTGGTGGCTTTTCTAATATGCATATCCTTTATGGCCTCGGCAGTTTCACGAGTGTTCTTTAAGTGAACACAAAGATTTGAACCTCTTGATTTGCATGATTTTGTGGGGTTTTCTGGGTCGAGTGAATAGCCCACCATTTTTAGAGGTCACCTGAGGCTGCTTACCGGAAGAGGAAGTGTTGACATCTCTTTTATCTGTCAAAGTCTTCTATATTCTTTGTCCTTGTGGGATTTTCTTCTTTTGTTTCTTTCATTTTGCTTGTGTTTCAGAGAGAACAGAGATAAATACAAGTGTTCAGTCTTTGATTTCTAACCTGAAGGACCTGAATTTTTTAGGGTAAAAAAATCTCAAGTTATTTTAAAATGTCTTTAGAGTTATAACTGTATTTCATTTCATCATATGAATATTCCTCAGTGCCTATAACCTGTCTATGATTAAAGTCTTTCCAAATTCTTTATAGTACTTCATAAATAATTTAATCCTTAAATCTCTGTAGTATTTATTATTATGTACTTAATATGTCTATTAGGAATAGAATCCTTATATCAGGATCCTATGGAAATAAATTCATTGGGCACCCTAGACTTAGCTCTCTAGAAATTCCCGTAGAATTCTATAGGATTAAATTATAAGCCATCTGTGTACATTTCAGTGTGTCTGTAGCCTGGTGGTGGTTAATATTTCTTAAAGATCTGAGGGCCATTACAGGTAATCTTGTAGCTGGTGTTGAAGATTTCTGTAGTCCTTTATCTGGAGCTTTAAAGTAAATAGGTTTTTATTTTTTTTTCCTCAGCTTGGCATTCTCCAGACTCTGCCCTTTTCCAGGAAGAAGAGGATATGGCCAGTTCTCTTGTATGTTTTAAGCATGTATTTGTTTCCTGTATTATTTTACAACGCAGTTGCAATGAGTTACCTTAACCTACCAGTAAGTTGGGAAAAAATGAGTCAAAAATCATGGTGAGGAAAAACACAGCTAGAAGATCAGAACCAGGGGAAATGTGAGATATGGCTATGCATAAACAGGTCCATACAGGGTTATAAAACTTGAGTTCAAATTTGAATATGATCTGGAGAAGCAAAAGCAAACTGAAACATAAAGTTCATCCGATAGTTTACACTGTTTTTAAGGAAAAAAGCTTATAATTCAGGAAAGAAAAAAACTTTTCATTGACACCCAGATCAAAAAGAAATCCAAAACAATTCCGTAATTCTAATGATTTTAAGCTCAGTTTATTAAAAGTCCTTCTTGTTCATAGATTAAAAATTAGAAGTATATGGAAGAGTAATTTGAATACTTTAAATGATCTAATATTTTCTTCAGTTGAGATTTTTAAAGTTGAGCTAAAATATATACTAATATTCTATGACAAAATTTTTTGTAGTTCTGATATCCATAGCTCTTCATGTTTTTTTTTTTATGGCCTCAAAAGATAACAGTATTCTTCATATTTTTACAAAATGACTCATTTTCCTCTGCTATTGATTCTTTTTGTTTCCAACTCTTCGGAATCCCTCATGCTCTTATATTTTAAATATTTTCCACTTCACTGGCTCTTTTTTTCTCAGCTCATATCTTTTCCATCTTGAAACACACATACATACTTCTATTGACCATATGATCATGTGGCTCATCCAGTTATTTCTCCTTTTGGCAGAGTGATTTTTCTGGGCCTAGACAGACTTGGGTTCAAATCTTGGCTGAATGACTTACTAAGTGCATGATTATGGGCAAGTTTCTTAATCTCTTTGGCCTTAGTTATGTCATCTGTAAATGGAGATAATAATAGTACCTATCCCATAGGAATATTGGGAGGGCTAAATGCACACAAGAAGTGCTCCATAAGTGATAAATATTATTAATAATTATTAGCTATATAACTTTCTTTTATTTATTGGCCTACTTTTTTAGTTTAGCATATAAAACTGATAAAAGAGAAGATGCCTTATTTATGTTCACAAAATTAATCCTTCTCTTCAATTGACCTGCCATAAACACTGTAATAAGGCAAAACTGTAAACAGTTTTTATAATATAGAAGTATATTGGAACTTTCCAGGTGGTCCAGTAGTTAAGACTCCACCTTTCACTGTGGCAGGTGTAGGTTCAGTCCCTGGTTGGGGTACTGAGGTCCCATATGCCTCAGCATGTGGCCAAAAATTTAAAAAAAAAAAACAACAACTAATAATTCTTAAAAATCAGTAATTAAAAATATAGATAATTGGGTGAAGAACATGAGCAAGCAGTTGGAAAAACTGCAAGTGGCCAGTAAATATTTTAAAATATAAAAATGTCACAAAGAAACACTGTCAGATTTGTAGATACATTTTTTTTAGATGTATTTTGAATTCATGGGTAATGATTATCCTTAAGAGGATTCCAAATAGTTCATTGTGAATTTTCTTTAGAAAGTAAAAACCTGGAGGTAACGAATTGTGATCTACTTATAGGATACTCTAAACTTTTAAAAAATTCACGTAAAAAATAAATAAATAAATAAATAAATAATAAAAAATTCATGTAGTTCCTCTCAGATACCAGAGTCAGACGTTTTGGTCTGGATTATCAAATAGAAATGGACTGCCTATATTTCTGGGCATGCAGACCTAAATTCATTCTAGAATATGGTTAAAATTATATTCCATGGCAGCTTTTATTTATATTTGAATAGACTACTTAGCAGGTAAAAAAATCTTCTACAGCAATAAGTATAATAGCTTTATTGAGTACCTATTATTTACTAGTTATTTTGTGTTATTAACTTTACATAGCTTATTTCCTGTTATCATTACCAGAAGCTTGTGAAGTCGATATTATTTTAATTTTTACAGAAAAAGGAAATGAAGCACAGAGATTAAGAAACTTTTATAACTTCATGCATCAAGTGTATAATAAAGACAGGATTCAAACCCACTCAGCCTGACTCTAGGACCACACTCTTATGATACTGTACAAATGGAAATCTACTCCTGAGTGAAGAAATGTAAATTTTGTCAATTGACTGTTCATATTATTTGTCCATTATATGTTGTTAGTCCTTTTTCTACTTGAAATTAAGGAATTTTAAGAATGCCTGCTTCAGCATTAGGATTTATGTGGGTATCTTCTAATTTATCAGTTACATATTATCATGTATCTTTTGTTGTATATAAACTTTAAATTTAAATAGTTATATCTACCCTATGACAAGTATGGCATACAATAAGAATTCAGTCAAATTTAATATGCAACATTAATTTTTATTGTTGTTAAACTTGGGGGACATTTATTTTTACTTCCCTATATCACCAGTCCTGTATATGAGTGGTTAAATCTTATTATCTCCTTAGGAAAACATAGCACTGTTGAGTGACTGTTACATTCTATGGAGAACTTCAATCTTTGGTCACAGCATTAAGAGCTCCCGGTTTTGGTCTTATAAGCCCTCTTTGAAATGACCTGTGCCACATTAATGAAATCTTCTGTCATGAGTTGCCAATGTTGTCTTTTCTAAGATATCTTTCTTAATATTACAATGTAGAGATAGTTTCTTTTCAAACCTTTGTTTTTCATATTTAGTCTTTGATCCACCTGGAATTTAATTTTGTAGTTGATCCAAGGTAGGAATTGGCTGCTAATTATATCAGTAAAATTATTTTTACATGTAGGAGACCAGTTGTTCCAATACGGTTTGTTAAATACTTCCTTTGTGATGCCACTTTTATCATATACGTGCTTAATCATTTCTGGGCTATTTATTTTTTAAAGGTTTATTTATTTATTATGGCTGCGCTGGGCCTTCATTGCTGTGCTCAGGCTTCTTAGTTGTATAGCAAGCGGGGGCTACTCTTCGCTGCGGTACTGGGGCTTCTCATTGCAGTGGCTCCTCTTGTTGCTGAGCTCAGGCTCTGGGGCATGCAGGCTGCAGTTGTTGTGGTATGTGGGCTCAGTGCATAGACTTAGTTGCTCCGTAGCATGTAGGATCTTCCCTGGACCAGGGATCAAACACATGTCCCCTCTGTTGGCAGGTGGATTTTTTACCACTGAGCCACCAGGGAAGCCCATTTCTAGGCTTTTTATTCTGTCTTTAATCTATTTGTCTACATCTATACCAGTACTGTATTCTCTGTGTGTGTATGTGTTTCCATTGTTTTAATTACTTTAACTTTATAATAACCCTGTTTGATTGACAGGGATCTGCACAAATTGTGTTCTAGTTTTTAAGAAATTTCTCAGCTCCTTTGGGACCTGTGTGCTTCTCTTTGTATTTTAAAATCAGTTTATTTCCTATCTAAGGAAAAAAAACCCGTTGGGATTTTAGTTGGAATTGCAAAGAATTATAGACTACAGACCTTCCTGACTTACATCTGTTAAACCCATCATAATTTGAAAATATTATAAATTGAAAATATATTTAATAAATAAAATGAAATAAAAATTTAAAAAGAAAATATATTTAATAATATTTAATACAGCTAACCTTATGTTTCCACAAGTTCAGCAATGGAAAGTAATCAAGACTTTATGTGAAACCACCCACTATAGATGCAAGGCTTTTTGGAAAGCCCTTTGGAATTTATTACAAAGTTTGTTTGTAAGCAAAGGAATAAAAATGGTGATGGTTCAGGGTACCAAATCATGTGACACATGTTTACAAAATAATTCTAGAACAGCGTCACCCCCTCCTCAACTAGTTAGACCCATTCAACACTGAGGAAGCAATGTGGAGGAGGATTGGCAAATTAATTTTAATAAGATGCCCAAGTCCAGAAGATACAAATATTTATTAGTAATGGTAGACACATTCGCTGGATGAATAGAAACTTTTCCCACACAGAACAGGTCTCAGAGGTAACAAAAAACTTGCTTTAGGAGATAATCCCACATTTCAGATTATCTCAGTCTATACAAAGTGATACTGGACCTGCCTTTACCTCTAAAATTACTCAACAAGTACCTGAAACCTTAGGGATAAAGTATTCCCTTCAAGCATCATGGAGACCCCAACCCTTTGTAGAAAAAAGGAGCAATATTTTGAAGCAAACTATAGCCAAATTTCCTCCTCCAGGGAGGAAATTTGGCTATAGTTCCAAATTCCACTCCAGTATTTTTTTTTTTTCCACTCCAGTATTCTTGCCTGGAGAATCCCATGGACAGAGGAGCCGGTGGGGCAAAGACTCAGACATGACTGAAGGGACTTAGCCTGCACATCTAACCTACCAAACATCGTAGCTTAATTTAGCCTACCTTAAATATGTTCAGAACACTTACATTGGCTTATAGTTGTGGAAAATCATCTAACACAAAGCCTATTTTATAATAAAGTGTTAAATATCACATGTGATTTATTGAATACTGTAGTGAAAATGAAAAACAAAATGGCTGAGTGGGTACAGAATAGTTGTAAGAGTTTTTTGGTTGTTTACCTTTGTGATCACCTGGCTAACTGGGAGCTATGGCTTGCTGTCACTGCCCAGCATCACCAGAGAATATTCTACTACATATAGCTAACATGAGAAAAGATTAAAAATTTGAGGTATCTACATTTTCTTCACTTTCTCTCCATTGTAAAGTTAAAAATTTATAAGTCAAACTACTGTACATTAGGGACTATCTGTAATCAGAGAACAATTGAAATATTTTTTCTATCACAAAGATGTTACACTTTAAGAAAATCCACTAATATAATTTGTCATATTCAAGAAAAAATATAATCAGCTCCATAGAACTGCTAATTTTTCTTAAATCAGAATGTGAGACTTTTAGAAGGATTTGTTTTTAATTTAAATTACTTATTTATTTTACAGGAGGATATATTTATAAAATAGAAGTAAAAGGATACTTCCTTAACATGATACTTAAAAAAATTATTCTACATACATAATAAGCTAAAAGCCAGAATCATATTTACTGTGGAAAATGAGACATATTCCTACTAAAGTCAGGAATGTGACCAGATTGCTCATGCTACCACATTTATTTACTAAAATTCTATATACATATAGGGCTTCCCTCATAGTTCAGTTGGTAAAGAATCTCCCTGCAATGTAGATCTGGGGTTTGATTCCTGGGTTGGGACAATCCTCTGGAGAAGGAAATGGCAACCTGCTCCAGTATTCTCACCTAGAGAATCCCATGGACAGAGGGTCCTGGCAGGCTACAGTCTTTGGGCTTGCAAGAGTTGGACATGACAGCAACTAAACCACTACCACCACTATATACATATAGAAAAAAGAAAAAAGATAAAAGTTGGGAAGGTGCATACAAAATTATTATATCTAGATGATACATTTATGTGTGTGTGCACCTGAAGATGAAATAAGAGAATTCAAAACAGTATGGACACAAAATTAATATGCAAAAATTAATAGCATTTCTATATATTAATACAAACCACAACCAGTTCAGAAATAAAATGGAAGCTGGGAATTCCCTGGCAGTACAGTGGTTAAGACTCAGCACTTTCACTGCCATGGTCAGAATTCAGTCCCTGGTTGGAGAACTAAGATCCTGAAAACTCTGTGGTGCAGCCAAAAAATATATAAATTTTTAAAATGAATAAAATAAAATGGAAGAAAGATGTTAAGAGTAGAAATAAAATCCTAAAGGAAAAAAAGATGCATATGGGAGAAAGAAACCTTTAAAACATTACTGAGACCTAGAAAAGGATTTGAGTAAATTTTTAATATATACTTTTTAAAAATAAAATCATCATTGTTAAATCAATATGAGTTCTCTTTAATCTTCAGATTTATTGAAATCTCAGATATTCTAAATATGCCTTTTAGAATAAGGCAGTTTTGTTCAAGCTGAGTGTAGAAGACATTTGGAAAATAAAAATATATATAATATCCAAGAAAAAAAAATGAAAAAATACTGTGTGTTATTCTCCAAGTTTTAGAAAGAATAACATTTATTTAATATTTGTATAACTTTAAGGAAAAAATATCCTTTTACAAAAAGTTGCCAGTCAGCATATACACCATAGAATTGACATATAATTACCTTTATGCCTTCACTGTAAACTTTATTTTTTAAAAAGATTTATCATATTAAGTATCTTAAAAATGAAGAAGAAGGAGACTGCTGTGATTACCAGCAGGACCTCTAGAAATGTTAAGGCTTCCTGTTAGGGCTAGGGTGATTCTCATCTTTTTCTTGGTTGTGTCTGATAGGAAAAGGCACAAAAATTTAATGACACAAACTAAATTTATGTTTTTTGACAGTCCCCTTTGTTCCTTGCTCCAAATATGGAATTCTTGGCATATGTGCATGTAAAGAGCATCAATATTTTAGGAAAATAGACTTTGTTATAAAGCACTGATTCATCATTGTATACAGTTAGAAATTAACCCATATTTACTTTTGTTACTTGTTTTACAGTTTCTGTCAGGTCTTTTTTGATATGAAATTTATCCTCATACACTAGTTAGTGGGAAAGATGTTCTAATGGTAATTTACCAGAGGTAGTGAAAAATACAGTTGTTCTTGTTCCCTATTTTTTTAATGGTTCATATTCCATGAAAAGTGAAAGTGTTAGTCACTCAGTCATGTCTGACTCTTTGCAACCTTACGGACCATAGCCTGCCAGGCTCTTCTATCCTAGGAATTTTCTAGGCAAGAGTACTGAAGTGGGTAGCCATTCCTTCTCCAGGGGATCTTCCTGGCCCAGGGATGGAACCCGGATCTCCTGCATTGCAGGTGCATTCTTTACTGTCTGAGCCACCAAGGAAGCCCAATAAGGGTTATTTATTCCTGGAACATTTATTAAATGGTTACTGGGTGCCAGGCTCGCTTCTGAGTTTTTCACGTTTTTTTGGTCTCATTTAGTCCTCATAACAACCCTTTGAGGAAAATGCCACTTTACAGATGAGGTTCAAATTTGGCTATTTGTTGAGTTTACACAATTAGTTAAAAAAAGAGAAAAGAAAAATAATTTTTGGCTATGCCAAGATTCTTACGGGAATCTTAGTTCCCTGATCAGGGATTGAACCTGGGCCAAGGCAGTGAAAGAACCAAGTCCTAACCACTGGACTTTCAGGGAATTCCCACACAATTAGTAAATTTTAAGGCCAGGATTTGAACTCATGATGTCAGATTCTGCAGCCTGTTGACCAGTAAAAATATCTAAATCCAGTTTCATTTTGAGAGCTTAGTTCTTTGAAAAATTTTCAATCAAGTATGTATTAAACCAGGTTTCTTTTCCGCTTTTCTGCTTCTTTTCTGAGTAGAACAACAGGTCTTTATTGTTATGCAGGTTGACTTTGTGGACTTTGGGCTCCGCTTTGGGCTGCAGATCACCTGGTCTTGACATAGGCTGTGGGATGGGCTCCCAGCTCCTCCAGGTTGTGTTCATTCAGGTGAATGGGCAGCAGCTTCCTGGGGCAAGCTCTTCACTTGCCCGATCACTGGAGTACAAGGACCAAGTCAAAGGGTGTGTTAAAATACAAAATTCAACTTGAGTACATTTTGAAGATCTTACTGGCTTTATTCCATGATTCATGAATCAGAGAACTTCCAGTCTAGCAGATATACAGGAACTTTGAGGAGCTATACCAAGTTAATTTTACATACAGAGGGAGTGGGGCAAGGAAGTTACAGTAGCCAAAAGCAGATTGGTTCTGGCCGGATTACTTTCCTTTAGGGGATGATAGGGTCTATCAGACAGATTACTTCACTAATGATCATCAGGTGATTTCTGCTTGACTAGTTTAATAGTCCAGTTCTAGGAGAGGCTGAAACTAATAAAGTCTCAGTTTGGTGACATGAGGCTTAGCATAAGTGACTCCATTTTGGGCCTGTTGTCTTGTTTTTAACAGATGTAAGCATTTTTCTCATGAAAAAGTATTGGGTTTTGTCAAGTGCTTTTTTTGCATCTGTTGAAGATGGTCATATGAATTTGTTCTTTATTCTGTCCGTATTGTGTATTACATTAGTTTATTTTCAGATGTTAAATCAGTATTGCATTCCTGGGATAAATCCCACTTGGTAATGGTTTGTAACCATATATATATATATGTATATTTTGTTTGCTTTTAAAAAGCAGTTTCAAGTTCACAGTAAAGTTGAGAGGAAGGTACAGAGGTTCTCCATATACCCCTTGCCTCCACATGTGCATAGCCTCCCCCATTATCAACATCCCCCATCAGAGTGATACAGATGTTACAATTGATGGTCCTATGTTGACATATCATGATCACCCAATGTCCAATAGTTTACATTCAGACTCACTCTTGGTGTTGTACAATCTATGGATTTGGACAAATGTATGTACATGTATATATATGTGTGTGTATATATATGGGGGCTTCCCTGGTAGCTCGGTTGGTAAAGAATGGTGTGTGTGTATATATACATATCTGCCTGCAATGCAGGAGACCAGGGTTTGATCCCTTGGTCCGTAATATCTCCTGGAGAGGGGAATGGCAACCCACTCCAGTATTCTTGTCTGGAAAATTCCCTTGACAGGGGAGCCTGGTGTGCTACAGTTTATGGGTCACCAAGGGTCAGAAATGACTGGGCAACTAACATATACACACACATATGCATGTATCTATCATTATAATATCATACAGAATTTTTTCCCTGACCTAAAAATCCTCTGTGCTCTGACTAATTTCTTTCCTCTTCTCCAACCCCTGGTATCCACTAATCTTTTTACTCTTTCTATGGTTTTGCCTTTTCCACAATGTCACGTAGTGGAATCATACTGTAGATAGCCTTTTCAGGTCAGCTTCTTTCACTTAGTTACATGTATTTAAGATTCCTCCATGTCTTTTCATGGCTTGATAGCACATTTCTTTTTAGCACTGAGTAATATTCCTTTATCTGGGTGTACCACCATTTATTTACCCATTTACCTTCTGTCTTTCTTACTTCCCTACTATTCCCATGTCCTCTTTCTTATTAGATCACACAACTGCTTGGACAAGTTCTGAGCCTGTGAATCATATATGTGTCACCTCTGTCACAGCCCAGTGCAAATCGGTGACAACTGTTTTCAGCTCCCTGCAAAATAAATGATGAATTAATAAGTTTGCTGATTCCGTATAACTCACTCCTACAGGGTATTTCTATTATGGTATATTTTCCCCCACAGTATAAATACAAAATTAAGTATTTAGAAATTAGAAAACTTGATAAATGGTATCTGATCCCTGGATACTACTAAATGAGTTCTTGCATGTTTTGATGACAGTGTTTAGCTTTGATGACTTCAAATTGTGTTTTAACAGGAAACAGTGACATTTAAGGATGTGGCCGTGGACCTCACCCAGGAGGAATGGCAGCAAATGAAACCTGCTCAGAGGAACTTGTACCGTGATGTGATGCTGGAGAACTACAGCAACCTAGTCACAGTGGGTAAGGGTAGCTTTGCAGTCTTACACAGAATTCTGTCTTTGAAATATGTGAAGATTTCAACTTGCCGTATGTCTTTAACTAGCATTTCCTTTCTTCATATGATTGTATGTGCTAGTCTTTAGAGTAAATGCATATTATTTTGTGTCACTGGGAAAGTTCCTCCCTCATCTTTCATAGGCCCTCGGGTCCCCAGGACTCAACCCAAGATCTGGATGGTTGTCTCCAACATTAACATTCAAGTCCTTTGCTGTCTCTCAAAATAGGTTGTCAAGTCACCAAACCAGATGTGATCTTCAAGTTGGAGCAGGAAGAGGAGCCATGGGTGGTAGAAGAAGAACTGCTTGGGAGGCACTGTTCAGGTGAATAAGTGAAAAGGCAGGTCTGAGTGAGAAAGCCACATAGCAGTTGTTCAGGAGGTTGATACCATTTCACATTTTCCAAGATTTGCTTAAGTCTTCTAGAATGACAGAAGATATGAATGCCTTGAATTATGGTGACACTTCTACATACTATTCTTCTTATGTTGCAGCTCTTCCTTTTTTCAAATTTTAACTACTAAAACTTCCTAGCTCATTTACAGCCTTACTTTCAGGATTAGTGTCCCTTTCTATGTATGATCCTTAAGCTTTCTCATTCCTTTGTATTCACAGGTTTTCTTTTTTTGTGTGTTCACTATTTGAATTAAATTTCCTTTCATTTATTTTCTTCATTCTATTTTGAAAAGCTTCAGATTTCTTTTGTAACAATAACTCACACTTTCTGTTGTACTTCACAACTCTCACAATATAGCTTTGAAAGTCTCTGACTTACAACTTGTTACCTCCTCCTTGCTATTCACACCTTTCATTCCTTTAATTTTTTTGAAATATAATATATGCACCCTTGGTTGAAAAATATTAGCAATCCAAAAGGTAACATTAAAAAGTGAGTCTCTCTCTTACCCTTCACACTCAGTCCCTTTCTTTTCCAAGTTAAGTACACTTTTTTTTCAGAGTTGTGCTGACTATTCGTATTTATTTCACCATATCAATTTTATTTTTTTAATCTATTTTTTGTTTATTTGTTTTTTATTTTAAGGTGGAAGAGTTTATTAAAGGAATTATGGAATTTTTTTTTTTTTTGTCTGTGCTGAGTCTTTGTTGTTATGTGGGTTTTCCTCTAATTTCAGCAAGCAGGGGCTTGCTTCTCTTCTTTGGTGTACACGGGCTTCTCATTGTGGTGGCTTCTCTTGTTGCAGAGCACGGGCTCTAGGGCACTCAGGCTTCAGTAGCTGTGGCTCTTGGACTCTAGAGCACAGTCTCAATAGTTGTGATGCACGGGTTTAGTTGCTCAACAGCATGTGGGATTTTCTCAGATCAGGGATCTGACCCCATATCTTCTGCATTGGCAGGTGGATTCTTTACCAACTGAGCCACCAAGGAAGCCCCTTCACTGTATGAATTTTAGACTTAACTATCTATTTCCAGAGAAAAACCTGTTGGATTTTTTTTCTGGGAATGTGTTAGAGGTATAAATGAACTTTCAGAGAGCTGACATCTTTATAGTGTCAAGGTTTTCTATCCAAGAACGTGTTCTCTGTCTTTGTTCAGATCTGCCTGTTTTGTATCCTTCAGAAATGCTTTCCAAGGTTTCCTTTATACCTTTTGTAAATCTCTTGCTAAGTTTATACCTAAGCAATAGATGAGAAAAAAAGCAGTGCTAACAGAATTGGAAAGGACCCTATAAAACCATCTTTATTTACAGATGATAAGATGATATCCCTTAAAACACAAGAGAATCAACTTCAACAAACTTTAAGAGAATTCAGTGATATGGTCAGTTATCAAATTAATAAGTAAAAATCAGTTGTTTTCATGTATACTTCAACAACCAAGTAAAAGATAAAAGCAAACCACATTAATAGTTGTAACAATATAGATAAAATACTATTCTGGACATGGGCATAAGACAATAAAAAAAAAAAAGTCCTGTCTTCAGGGAGCTTATAATTTAGTGGGAACTAGAGTTCCTGAGATTTTGATTAAGAAAATATCTTTAAAAAAAAAAAACCTTTATATTTAGTTGATAGTTGGCTATGTAGAAAATTCTTAGGCCATACTGTCTTCTCTAGAGGTTTTTATAGACAGTTTCCTGAAGACTTTAGATAGTCCTCTACTGCTTCTTGGATTTGAGTGTTGCTTGGAGAAATCTGAAGCCTGATTGTTTTCCTTCGTACATGACTTGATTTGTTTGTCTGGATGCCCATAGGTTGTTTTTCTTTAAAGCTTTAGAACTTTATGAGGCTTATTGATCAGTCAATATCAGTTTTTCCTTTCAGCTTGTATATTCATATTTTTTGGTTCTTGTAGTGTCATACAGATCTGAATAACTGTCATTCCTCATCTTTGAATAAGGATATTTTCTGCTGGACCCACTGTTTACCGGCGAAGTATTGAAGATTGTCTAGAAAAATACTCTGAGCTAGTAGGATGCCTCTGTTGCTTGTATCGACTTCCTCTGTCATACAGAGTTTTGCGTTAAGAGTTGGTTTGCCCTTTACTTCTTCTGAATCAGAGATTATCAGTTGCATGCTTTCTCTAACACTCTTCTACCTTCCTATGTCAATATCCTGCTTATACGAGAATAATAGCTATTTGCATCTCTGCAGAATTTGCATCTATTTAGCTCTGTCTTTCCTACCTTTTGACAGGGCCAGAACAAGATGATTATGTTCCACCAGGCAGTCTTAACACATCCAGATTCCATTGTTGTGAAAAAGGACTCATTCATTCTGTCCACAGAGTGTGCCTTCTGTTTTGGAGAACTGTTCACTGTGCTTTCTATCTGAGACAAGAAATAACAGCCACTGTCTCTTAGTTTCTTTCCCATCTATTTCTGTCTATCCTCTGACTTTCCTTATACTTTGGAATTGGAGTTTATCTGCCTTTTGGTATAATTGAAGACATATTTTGTTTTCTGTTTATTCTTCATGTCTGCAGAGAGGAGAGAAGATAGAGATGTTTAATTCCACCATGTTGAAACAGGAGATTCTCTTCTGTATTTGATCCTATGGATCACCCTTCTTGGAAATGTCTTCTTTACTCTTCTCTATAGGCTTCTGATTTCTTCTCCATTTGTTTATTTTTTTCTTATTCCCTTATGAACTGTGTTTTATATAATTCTTCTTCTCCAGCCCTCAAGAACATTACTGAAACTAGTTTTAAATTATATATGGACTCCTTTTTCCTTTATGTATCTTCATGATGTAGATGTGTTCCTGCCTTCAAATCAGTATATAACTCCAGACTTTAAATTCATCCTCTTTTTTTTTCAGCCCCACTCTTTTCCCTGCCTTTCAAGTACCTAAATCCTCCATTTGTGTGTGTGTGTGTGTGTGTATGTGTGTGTGTGTGTATGTGTTTGTGCTGCATGGCATGCAGGATCTTAGTTCCCTGACCAGGGATCGAACTTGCACCCCCTGCAGTGGAAGTACAGAGTCTTAACCACTGAACTGCCAGGGAAGTCCCCCCACTGTAGCAAATTTCTGAAATGTTATCAATAGAGCAGTAGGAGAAATATTGAAAAGTAATAATTTTTGGTCCTCCATTTTAGAAGTTTGGAAAGTTGATGAGCAGATCAAGAAGCAACAGGAAACCCTTGTGAGGAATATCACATCCATCTCCAAGAAAACTCTGATTAAGGAAAATGTCCTTGAATATAAAAATGTTGCAAAAGTATTTCCTCTGGACTCAGACATTGTTACTTCAAGACAAAAGTTCTACGAATGTGACTCACTTGATAAGGATTTTGAACATAGTTTAGACTTATTTAGTTATGAGAAAGGCTTTATGAAAAAGAAAAGTTATGAATGTAATAAGTATGGGAAACCATTTTACCATTGCTCATCCCATGTCATAACCCCCTTTAAGTGTAATCAGTGTGGACAGGACTTTAATCATAGATTTGACCTCATCAGACATGAGAGAACTCATGCTGGAGAGAAACCCTATGAATGTAAGGAATGTGGAAAAGCTTTCAGTAGGAAGGAAAATCTTATTACACATCAAAAAATTCATACTGGGGAAAAACCATATAAGTGTAATGAATGTGGAAAAGCTTTCATTCAGATGTCAAACCTTATTAGACACCAGAGAATTCATACTGGAGAGAAACCTTATGCATGTAAGGATTGTTGGAAAGCCTTCAGTCAGAAATCAAATCTCATTGAACATGAGAGAATTCATACTGGAGAAAAACCCTATGAATGTAGGGAATGTGGAAAAGCCTTCAGCCAGAAGCAAAATCTTATTGAGCATGAGAAAATTCATACTGGTGAGAAACCTTATGCATGTAATGAATGTGGTAGAGCTTTTTCTCGGATGTCATCTGTTAATCTACATATGAGAAGTCACACAGGGGAGAAACCCTATAAATGTAATAAATGTGGAAAAGCCTTCTCTCAATGCTCAGTATTTATTATACATATGAGAAGTCATACAGGTGAGAAACCCTATGTATGTAGTGAATGTGGAAAAGCATTCTCTCAAAGTTCATCCCTTACTGTACACATGAGAAATCATACAGCTGAGAAACCCTATGAATGTAATGAATGTGGAAAAGCCTTCAGCCGGAAAGAAAATCTTATTACACATCAGAAAATTCATACGGGAGAAAAACCTTATGAATGTAATGAATGTGGGAAAGCTTTTATTCAGATGTCAAACCTCATCCGACACCAGAGAATTCATACTGGTGAAAAACCCTATGCATGTACAGTATGTGGGAAAGCCTTTAGTCAGAAATCAAATCTCACAGAACATGAAAAAATTCATACTGGAGAGAAACCCTATCATTGTAATCAATGTGGGAAAGCTTTTAGTCAGAGACAAAACCTCCTTGAACATGAAAAAATTCATACTGGAGAGAAACCATTTAAATGTAATGAGTGCGGTAAAGCTTTTTCTCGAATCTCATCCCTTACTCTTCATGTTAGAAGTCATACAGGGGAGAAACCGTATGAATGTAATAAATGTGGAAAAGCCTTCTCTCAATGCTCATTACTTATTATACATATGAGAATTCACACTGGTGAGAAACCCTATGAATGTAATGAATGTGGAAAAGCATTCTCTCAAAGAGCATCCCTTTCTATACATAAGAGGGGTCATACAGGTGAGAAACGCCGAGTGTATTAAATGAATAAGACTTTCTTTTAAATTCAACCCAAGCTTTACTTAACTTTAAGATATCTTGGCATAATCTAAAAAAATGTGCAAGATTCTTATGAAAAAATTGTAAAGCTTTATTGAAAGGCAAAAGTTTTGAGTAAACGAGAGAATGTAGATGGAAAAACCCCATGTTATAAAATGTCTGTTCTTCCCAACTTAATCTATAGACCTACTAGAGTTCCAAACATCTAACAGGAATTTTTTAGGATCTTTATAAAATGATTCTAAACCTCATATGAAATAAAAGTCTATGGATTGCTGAGATAATACTGAAAAAGAACAGAGAGGACATACCTTCTACCATATACTACATGTATAGTGAAGTTATGGTCATTTAATAGTGTGTAATATTAGTACATTAATAGGTAGGTAGAAAAGTTTTACAGAATAAAATGCCTAGAAATAAACCTGTGAATATATGCGAACTTGTTGTGTATTAGGCATGACATCATGAATCAGTAAGAGGAATAGCCTAGTCAATGAAAATAGTTGGAGTACTTGAATCTCCATACTGGGGAAAATAAAATTACATACAACCTTGCAACATATAAAGAAACAGAATTCCAGAGGATGTGAAATGTGAACAACCAAACTCTGAACTTCTTGGAAGGAAATAACAGGATGTTGTTTGTGACTTTGAGGCAGGGAAACATTTTTTAAAAGGACCCTGTAGTTTTTCTTCTGGATGTACATCCTAAAGAAATTCACAACTATGCATAAGAAATATATATTATCTGAATAGAAAACAACCTATATATTGAGGGGATAATAGATAAATAAAATGTGATATTAAAATAATGGAATAGTATACAGCACTTAAAAGTAATGAACTTGGTCTATATTGTGTAACATGGGTTGTTACCTAAAATAATGTTGAGTGGAAAAAAATTAAGATCTAGATGAAACATACTGTAAAATAACATTCATGTAAATTGGAGTGAAATCATTCACAAAGAATAGAACTATGTTTTTATTACTGAAATATGTATGTAAAACTATTTTAAATGGGTTAAAAAGAACACATATCAAATTATTGATAGTGTTGTCTCTGGCAAGAGATTAGGATTCAGGGTATTGATCGAAGGGGGCTTTTAGCTTTACTTGTAATTTTTATGCCTTAAAAAGAGATGAATAGTATATAAAATAAATCTTAAAAGTTAATGATACATGATGGTGATATGGATGTCTTAATTTTGTTTTTGTACTTCACAGAATTTATGGGTTAGGGGATGACTATGCATAGAGGAAAGTGTTATAATAGATTCATGTGCTCTATCAGATGCTGAACTGTTTTATCAAAAATATTTCCAGAAAATTAGTAATTAAAAGTGATAATCCTGTTTACTATTTAATATGAAATTAGCATGTCTCATCAGTCTTGTGCTTTTTTTTCACATTCTTTATTTAGGACTTAATTTTCAACCAATTATATCTTAGATTCAAGAAGCATGTAATTATTTGTTACAAATTTGAAAATCAGAGGGCAATGTGACAAATCAAATATGATTTTTATTTAGAATTTTAGGGTATCATGATCTAATGATCCCTACTCTCTCAGTGTGTCTTGTTTTATTTGACAACTTGTTGGATTCAGAACTAATGGGTTAGTAATATGATTAGAGTCATTATGGAGAGAAAAAATTCTTGAGAAACTAACTCTACAATATTAGTCTTCTTACTCTGTACACTTCCATACAACCAGCATAAGCATTAATATAATCATTAATTATTACAATATTTTGAAACAAGAAAACCTTTTTTCTTGAGATAGCCTTAAGCAATTATGTAAAATTGCTTCACTCTTAACCTATAGATCATTTTATTTCTTCTACAACCCTTGATTTATGTACCTATATCTAGTTTTGGTTGAAAGCAGTGTGTGGTCTAAGACCCTGAGCAGTAATAACAGTTCCTCTGAAAGGATCTCATTCTCTGTTAAACAATACATGAATCAGTCCTTCAGGTATTTTTTTTATTGTACCATCTCTGCAGTATTATTTGATGCACAGAAAACCATTAGTGTCTTTTTAAAAAGGTGATGATGATTGGGAATATTGTTCAAAAGGAATCTTTTAGCTTTGAATGTTTGAATGTCAGTTTCATTTATTTGAAACTAATTTTACAAAATTAAATCATTATCAGACTAAATTTATGAAGTACAAGCATGACTAAGCTCAGTTTTACTTCAATTAGTCATTTTTGAAGATTGACAGTGACTTAGAATTATAAATAGCAGGCACTGATATTTATGAAATCAGCAGTTTCCCAAAACTTAAATATCTAAATGTGTTGTCGCTTCATAATCTCTTCTTTCATGGGTTTTGTGGTAAGTCCAATTTTGCAAGCACACTTTTTTGTAGACTTTTTAAAATGTGCTTTTCAAAGTTCATGTTTTACACATACAACAAAATCTGTGTAAATATTTTTAGTTGCAAAATTTGGGGGGAGATCTAAACTTATTTTTCACTCTGATTTTCTGCTTCATGCTTCTTTATTTGGCTCATATCTCACTTTTTTTCTGTCCCATTCTTTACATAGCTTTGGAGTCAACAGAAATGTTTTAAATTTCCCTTACACTCATAACAACCACCTTAGGTGCCTTTTTAGCCTGTCCCACTAAGAGTGGCTGGGCTGATTGGGTGAGATATAGTGCCTGAGAGTAAACCTGAATCTCAAGTCTAGGAAGGCTGCCTTACTGTATGTCAACAAGAAGATGATCTTGTCTCTGTTAATTAATTTTTTTCCTATCCTGAAGAGTAGAAATAAGGTCTAAGTGATTGAGATAACATATAAAAAAATCAATCAAATCACAATAAATCCCTCTCCACTTGGATACACATGAACTGTTACTGCCTGATAATTTCCATTCTAGATTTCAGACTTAATTTGAAGTTACTGATATGAAAGATAAGGAAAAGAGAGATAAAGGAAAACTACAATTTTGTGGACAGCACCAGCTGGATGGTCACCAGTTGCTAAAAATGCAGCAGACTAAGGAGAAATGTTTGGGAGTAAAGGTAGGAGGATGGAATTGAGTCATATTGTGGACATTCTTTTACCTATAATTTGTCCGAGGCAGATCTTGAGCTAAGAATTCCTACACAAGTGATTTATTAAGGAAGTGCTCCCAGAAAGAGTGGGAAAGGCATGAAGGAAGCGGGACAGGAAAGAAGTGAAGGGCGTCATCTCCAGCTGTAGTCCTGCCATCTGTCATTTCAGCCAGATCACTAAGGGCATTCTAGAAGGTAAGCTCTGCCTTATACTCCCCTCTCTCTTTGCTAACTGCTGAAAATCTTTGACTGCTGACAACTCACCACTGAGTTCCTCTGTAAGAATTGCCCTTGGATGAAGAGAGCTGCATCATGCATGGCTACACTGCCTCCCCAAGAGCAATTTAGAGCAAGTGCGATCGCTTCTCGGCCTTTTGGCTAAGATCGAGTGTGGAGCAAGTGCGAAGAGCCATCCCAGTCCTAGAGCTCCCTGAGAGTTTGCAGCTCTGTCACAGTTTAACTTCACCATCCACCCAGTTCTGGTTCATTTCAGATTCTGTCTCCCAGGGAACCTGACCTAAGATGGGGACATTTTGCAACAGCAAGTCTCAAACTGAAACAAAAATTTTAAATTCATTTATAAATAAACTCATCACATGTTAACATAACATTTTATTAAAAGTATATTTGAAAAACAATGACAATTGCAATATTATATAATTTTTCAAATACCTTTAATAGTTTAATGAAAGCGTTGGGTTCTCATCTCTGCATTCATTCTGTAGAAATGTCGCATGTTACATAGACCAGGAAACTACTCTCAGGAGAGAATGAAAGTGAAAAAGGAAAAAAGTTCTTGAAATTACTATGAAAATAATTTTGACCTAAGAGACCCCTGAGGATTCTCCAACCATTCTTTAAGAACTGCTGTTTGACATTTGGCCTGGTCTCTTCAAAAACTCATTGTTAAAAGACTAAAGGGATGTGAAGGGAGGAGGACTGAGGAGGGGTATTGGCATGCTATTTAGTAACATAAGTAGTCCTAGATGGAGGATTTCAGAAACAAGAATAGTGGGCAAAGAAACTGTTAAAATGGGAGTTCAGTTCAGTTCAGTCGCTCAGTCGTGTCCAACTCTGCGACCCCATGAATTGCAGCACACCAGGCCTCCCTATCCATCACCAACTCCCGGAGTTTACTCAATCTCATGTCCATCAAGTCGGTGATGCCATCCAGCCATCTCACCCTCTGTCATCCCCTTCTCCTGCCCCCAATCCCTCCCAGCATCAGGGTGTTTTCCAATAAGTCAACTCTTCGCATAGGTGGCCATGTGAAACTCCAAAGTATTGGAGTTTCTGCTTCAGCATCAAGTAAATGAAAACAAATACAGTGGAACAGAATAGCAGAATTGACTTATGATATTAAAAACAACAATGAAATTACTGGAAAACACCGGCGTATAATTCACAGGATTGATGCGACTTTGATTTAAAGTTTTTCAAGTCCATTTATTGTTACAAATAGAGGGACTCTTTGTGACCACATGGACTGTAGCCTGCCAAGCTCCTTTTTCCATGGGGATTCTCCAGGCAAGAATACTGGAGTGGATTGCCATACCCTCCTCCAGGGGATCTTCTCAACCCAGGGATCAAACCCAGGTCTTCCTCTTCGCAAAGACAGAGCTAGTGCTTTGAAATACAGATTCAGTAGAATGTAAGAGACCTCAAATAACAGTGCCTTAAAAGTTGATCTTTTTATCCTCACATTTAATAATTAGTCTGCAGTTAGTACAGAACTGGTACAGATTCTCTTTCTTGTTTTCCATCACTCCTAGGGAGGTCTTATTCACACAGCCCAGTATGGCACACTATCACATTCACATCCCCAGGAGTCAAGGAGAGTAGGGGGCAAAGAGGCACATCAGTTAACTTTAAGGGCAGGAATCTAGCATTACACGCATTACCTTCTTT